ACCAACCCCCCAACTCCCCTCCTGCTCCCCCACAGTCTGACACACTGAACCTGTTTTCTTCAACCCCCGCTCACCTGCACCCACCACCACCCTCCATCGCACCACCGTACGGTGCAGAAAGCCATGTCCTCACGTCAGCTGTCCTCTGCACCTGCATCAAACTCGGCTCTTCACTGCAGACTTTTTTCTTCCTCCCACTTGCTTTCACATCTACAGAAATGTGTGACTGAAAAACGTGTTTTATTTTTGTATAGCTCCACATCGACAACACTATGAACCGGCCTGAGTGTTCCTGCAGAAAACAATGGCCTTGTTCCAATGCATTAATCTTTGGGAAAGGATCGTCAGCTGATCAAAAAAAAAACACTAACATCTATTTTGTTGCCTTTTGTCGAGGTGGTTGACTTCAGTTTGACCTTACACTGTGCAATAACCAGCCTGTGTGGCAGAAATGCCACTGAGGGTGGGGGCAGAGGGGCACCACTGGACAAGATTTCAGTGAAACTCCTAAAAGTAGGCCTAAATCTGAAAATGATTCTCATTTTCAAATAACCTCTGTAACACCAGCACAGTTAAAGTGAAATTCTCTTATGGCTTTTAGTTTTGGGGTGTCATCCTAAGATTAGGACCGGCCCCCCCAGAACACTCCCTGGAGGCGCCCCTGCTGTGTGGGGCTCTGTACACACTGTGGTACTTCCACAGGTTAATGCATCGGAACTACGATAATGTGAGCTGAAATATGTGATTTTGTATTTGTTACCTGGACTTTTTGTTTTGTTTTTGTCTTCTCAGTATCTTGTCTGTGGATGTGAGAGAAGCATCGACCTGAGCTCTCTGGCTGACAGATTTTACTGAGACACTAAGCTTGCTTCGGCTGTCTGTCACCTTCAGTTTACCTGCTGTTTTCACTTGTTATATCGGCACCTGGTTCTTGAAAAAAAAAGAGTTATAAGCTCTGAAGGTGGTTATTTTTTTGTAAGAATTGTTTCTTTCTTGCTTGCTTTTACTGTACAATATTATGCTGTGCACATTAAAATTTAATATAATCTGTTGTTTACTGGTTTATTTATTTGCATTAAGGTGACTTTTATTCCCATAGATGAAGAAAGAAACTCAACAGTGGAGGTTTTGTTCTATTTTTCTTGTGATGTTGAGTCATAGCAAATCTAATTTTATCACGATTTATGTTGGTGACTCATGTGCGTCATGGCTACCAGAAAGGTTTTGTTTAAAAAAAAAGCCCAGAAGAAGAAATCTGGAGCAAATAAGAGCTCATTTCCAGCAGAAGGATCTCTCTAAACTCAGTATTTGTGCCTACGTTGGTCTCGGAAAGCTCTCATTCCTGGAGCGTTGCTCATACTTTACAAAGTATTTTTTTTTCTAGCCTGGCATATTATTTCCATGGTGACTGGAAAACAAATAAAACTACTGAGCAATGCTCATGGGACTGGAGCACGTTAACTGTGCTCAGATTGATTTACACCAGAAGCAGGCACATGATTATTCAGCCCCGGGCACATCTTCAGTCTAATTATACACTTTTTCTCATCAGTAATAATGTGAAGAACGACATGAAGTCTGCTTCAAGCTGAAGAGTCAGAGATTTCAGGCTGATTTCAGAATCTGCTGCTGTTCAGCCAAATAAGATGTTCACAAAGAAATCTGGCTCTTTCGCCTAAACTCAGTAAATGAGGGGTTGTGGGTGCCAGCGAGAGTTTTGCAAAAGCACTAATTAGAAAAAGAACATCTAATAAAATGTCTAAATACACTCAGTCTTTTGTCCACACTCTGCAGGAAATTTGAGACCCTGACGAAAAGCATTTATCTAACTTTACACTGTGCACGGGACAAAATGAGAAAGCTTTAAAATGTTTATTTTTTTATTTTCTGCTGCATAAACACTGAAGCATCTTTATTACTACGCAGCCATTACTCTTCTGTTTCTGTCACAGTTTCTGATTTTGCCGACATGGAGGTTTTGGAGTAAACCAGCAGCTCTGTGTCTCAGTGCTGCAGAAACATCCTTCACACTTTTAACAAGTTAAACTTTAAACAACTGAACTGGTATTTTTCTTTGGCTTTTGATTTTATACAAGTTCAACTGTTTCTTTGGTCCCTCTTAGTTGTTTATTTTTATTTGTTTCATTAATATGTTAACATGTCAGCTTAGATTATGACAAAGTCACAGTTTTTGGGTTTAATAGAGAAAAAGAAAAGTTTGTTTGAATTTTGGACAGCAGTTTTAATGGTTTTATTCAAAAAATCTGTAAACATTTTACTTTATTTAACATCCTACAGTGAGTCCAAGCATTTTTGTTTATTAAACATGAAGTAATACAAAGTATTAACGAAAGAGTCTTTAGGTAAAAACTGTTTTGTTTAAAGGGAGAATATTTATGATCAAGATGGGAACAGAATTTAGGGAGTTGGCTTTAAAGTGTTCATAAATCAGGCTCTATAATAACCACTTGCATTTCTGGCCTGAGGGATTTCTGCTTAAAAAAACATGAAACGTTTTAGAAATAATATATAAATAAATTTTTTAAAACGTTTCATGTTTTTTTTAAGCAGGAATCCCTCAGGCCAGATATGCAAGTATATATACTGTATACAGTATATATAGCGTGTGCTTCAGTGGTCAAAAACAAATAAAAT